AAATTCCCTAAGGACAAAGTTTCTTAGATTATTGGTCTGTATTTAATGAGACAATATAATTACTGTCACTTTGGTCACATGGTTAAGTAATTTTTCACAGTGATCTATTTAATTAAACATTCAAACCTTTTAACAACTTCTTCAAATCAAATTCTAAATGAAGTCTTTCTTGACCTCTGACTCAGATTTCCCAGAGGGCGCCTAGAAACTCTTAAAAGGATTTGTTCTCTCACCTTGTAAAATGAGAAGTATTAAACTAATTAGATTTATTTGATATGTTAAATAAATGCTTTGCATGGCAAGCATTAGCAAATAAGTGATAATGCTTTCTAGATTACACTTTCCCTAGATTATAATTCTATGGCTATGTGTTCTTAAGTATTTTGGCAACTGTACAAAATTTCTAGAAATTTATTAATGTCATAGCTATCCATGTTGTGTCCTATCATAACTCCACTTATCTTGAAATGTTCAATGCCACAGAGACAGCCAAATTTCCTTCTCAAATGCGTTATAATGACCTTTCATCAGACCTTCAACCACAGCCATTTTAAACCTTTTGTCAGTCACAGATATTGTTTTACTCTGATGCCTTCCTGAAACACTGGTAATCAGCTACAGGACTCCCTTTCAACCATACCTTCTCAGAAATCCATGGGGAAAGACTATAACAGGTACTCTGGCTTATATAACTTTATATAGAGTTATATAACTTTCAGATCATACCACTGTACTGAATAAAGATCTCCAGAACTAATGGAGAAGCTCACGGGTTCATGAAATTGCTAACAGAAATCAAGGAAGACCTAAATTTATCACATGGAACTAAATAGACTAATGAAGAATGATTCCTTCTATGACTTTTGCTTAGAATATTCCTGGTTCTTTAATGTTCTATCTTCTAGATTTAAGGGACCCCTTTTCTCTTGAGCTATCTAGAGTTTAGAGCAATTTATTAGATTATATCTTTGTAAGCAGAAATAAAACATTTCTCTTTTCTCCCTGACTGAATCCTCAGAAATTTGGAGAAAACATTTATTAAATACTTATTTTCATGGCAATATAGTTATTTGAATAAATTCAACAAGAATTTGTTCTCCTTTTAACAGGACACAATTGGAAACACTAATTATATTACCAAGGTTTTGACTGGAATGTAATATTTGAGGATGGTGTGCATAAATATGACTAGTTTTAAGGAACTAAGGTTGACTTTAAGTAGTCAGTGCTTCTTGGAAAATTGGCCCAGGACCTGGTTTACAGGAGTCTCAGCTTTAGAGGTGAGAAAAGAAAGACGGTTCCTGGCAGGCCCTGGAAGCTTAGGATATTTGAGGTACCTGAAGAAGGAGGTATTCATCTACATGTGCAGGTATGCAAGAGAAGTCTAATAGCAAATTCTTAGCTTGGATTTCTAATCTCAAGGTTGTCAAAAGTCCCAGCTGGGATTCCTAACAAAAGTTCAAAAGGTCTATGTCTTCAATTACTATTCCTTATGCACTTACACAAATAATTAGGCCAAGTCTGATGAGACTAGACTCATCTTGCAAACAAAAACAGTCTTACCTTGATTATCTTTGATAGAAATGGGGTGATTATAGAATTAAATCATGTGTTCCTGTAATTGCTGACTTTCAATGCTCCCTGAAAGGAGCTCAGGGTGGAGAACAGAAATGAGGGACTTTGTGCTCTAGGAAAAACTGGCAGAACAGGTCTTTAGATAGTTAGATATTTTCAGGAGCCAATGTTATGCACCCAATTCTTCTATTTCCTCATATCTAGAAAAGCACTAAAATCCTTCATGGTGACATCTGCTTCCTGTGAGTAGCAGAAACCTAGGGGGAAAAAAGTGCTTGGTTCCAAGTACTCCCCCTTCACCAAAATCACACATATACTGACCTTCCCCTCCATCTCTTTGGACTAGTTTCTCAGAGCTATCTAAAATGCTGTCTCCTAGGCTGTAGCCCTCATTTTGCCCCCAGTAAAACTTAACTCTCAACTCTCAAATCCTCTCCTGGGAGTTTCAGTGCCACATCTAAAAACACTGTCACAGAACTATCATATCTCCCACCTATTGTCCCAAGGGCCTATTTATCTTTCCCTAAACATCGTTTGTTTTCCCCTAAGTGCCCTTTTTTGCAGTCCCCTTCCTTCTCTTATTAAGATGGTAAGTTGCAAATTCTTCCTGAAGACATATTTTACTCTGAACTCCAATTTACAGACGTAAATAAAATTTGCCATTTCTCTTGCTAATCAGCCCTTTGTCGGTTTATTTCACAGGCCACCACCAACTGAATCTAAGAGGGCAGACAGAGGAGAGGCTTTCCCTCACTATTGGAGAAACCAAATCCAGGGGCACGCTCTCATAAACCTCATCAATACTGGCAGCTTCTCCCCATCTAGTAACTACAATTAGACATAAAATAAAAGTTTCCTTATTCTTAAAGGAAGTGCAGCTGTTTCAAAAATAGTATTGAAGTTTTCATTCAGATGGGTCTTGACTGTTCACTTCTAGCCCCCTCCACAATGGACTTCTAGCCAAATTTTAGTCATTATTTCCAAATATTTACAGCATGATGAATAAGCTGTAATTTTAGACAATGAAAAATAAGACAAAGTTTGGAGCCCTATACCAAGGTGACAGCCATAGAGCCCTGTACCAAGGTCATGGAATAAAAATCTCTGGAACTGATCAAGCCCCATAGCAACTGTTGCCTTGGACGTCCAGATCTAAATCAGCCAGTTCCCTGACTTCATATTCCCGATAGCATCCTAACCAATCACCTAATGCCTCCGTTCCAGTAGGAATTCTGTCTTGAGGCTATAAAAATTTGGCCACTAGACTGCAAAAGGGCTCTCCCTTGAGCCAGCCTGCTGTTCTAACAGCATCTTGCACTCTAATAAACTTTATTCTCCTCTCATTCTGCCTCATGTCTGGAAAATCTTTTCCAACCCATGCACGGACCACGACACAAAGTGATCAAACATGGTACTGATATGAAGCGGGCTTCCCTGACAGCTCAGTTGGTAAAGGATCTGCCTGCAATGCAGGAGACCCAAGTTCGATCCCTCAGTTGGGAAGATCCCCTGGAGAAAGGAAAGGCTACCCACTCCAGTATTCTGGCCTGCAGAATTCCATGGACTGTATAGTCCATGGGGTCGCAAAGAGTCGGATACAACTGAGTGACTTTCATTTTCATTGGTATGAAGCAACTTGAAGACAGAGGTAGATCTGCAAATTGCTACTTAGTTGCAAATTCCATTTAGAACTGGTTCTCTTTGAAACATCAGTTTTACATAAATGCTTATCCAGTAGCACATCATAAACCGCAGGGCTAGAATAATTTTTTTGTCATGTAAATGTGGAATTGAGAGCTAAAACTGTTAAAGTTAGCAACAGATGATTTTTTTCAAGAGCAACCCGTAGGACTCATAAGAAAAATTTAAATTATTAGCCAGCTCTCAAAGCAGAGGCATCACTTTGCTGACAAAGGTCCATATAGTCAAAGCTATGGTTTTTCCAGTAGTCACGTACAGATGTGAAAGCTGGACTGTAAAGAAGACTGAGCACTGAAGAATTGATGCTTTTGAACTGTGGTGTTGGAGAAGACTCTTGAGTCCTCGGGACTGTAAGGAGATCAAACCAGTCAATTCTAAAGGAAATCAACTCTAAATATTCATTGGAAGGACTGATACTGAAGCTCCAATACTTTGGCCACCTCATACAATGAGCAGACTCACTGGAAAAGACCCTAATGCCGGGAAAGATTGAGGGTAGGAGGAGAAGGGGGCAATAGAGGATGAGATAGTTGGATGGTATCACCAACTCAATGGACATGAATCTGAGTAAACACCAGGAGATTGTGAAGGACAGGGACTGCATGCTGCAGTCCATGGGGCTGCAAAGTCTGGCATGGCTTAGCAACTGAACGACAGTCACCTCTAGGGACACTGACTAAATTCTGGAGATACTGGCATTAAACCAGCACTTAATTTTTGTTTTCAGGCATTTAAAGATTTTCATGCATTGTACACCCAAAGTTTTTGGTCTCTTGATTTTCTTTGACTCACATCTCTTCCATCCCTTGTTATATGATAATCCCTCTCAGTGTAAGGAAAGTCCAGTCGTGGATATTCTGTACTGAAATTAAACCATAATATTTGATCGAATTCTAAACCAAATAGCACTATTTGGGGTTCCCATTTATGGATTACTCAAAAACAAATGTTTATCCTGTTCAAATTAATTTATATAATATCACAAGGCTAAAAGAGATCATTTTAGGAGTGACAATGTGTCATGAAAGCACCAAGTTGGGAGGGGTGGGTACAGTGACCAATCAGATGAACATATGACCTTTCACTGAGTTTTTCCTTAAAAGGAGTCAAACAGCCTTCAATTTTCTGGAGTTAAAAAGGCAGCAGAGGTAAGATATTAAAATGTGCAAGCTAATTGCTTCTTTCCCATCCTCATAAAGGACTAATGTTTTCTAAAATACAATTTGCTACAGGGCTCACAGATGAGCACCTTTCACATTAAGTGATACATACACAAAACATTATTTACTCAGAGGAAAACAGCGTTTCTTTTGGTACACCCTAGTTAACAGGAAAGGGAACAGGAAGTGAGCAGACAATGTTACTAAAGGGAAGAGAAGGAGTAATAACCCAACCCTGTAATAATATAACCCAAAGTCCTAGAAGGGATAAAAAAAACTAAGCCACATTGAAGTGAAGATGATTCAGCAGTATCACAAAGGTCATCAGTATTTCTGTAGTACTGATACTTGATATGGCACAGATACAAAGTCTTGTGTGCTAATATGCAGATTGCTAAAAAGGGAGCCAGGTGTGAGACAAAAACTAACTTAGAAAATTAAAGAGCCTGATTTAGTCTCCACTTTCCTTCCAACCCTTCTAAAATGTTTTCTGCTGAGCTTTCATGCTGTTGTTTACACAGCAGAAACAAGGGTGTTTGAAAAACTGGCCACAGTGTTACAGTCTCCAAGCTGCCCAGACAACTTTATTCAACAAGAAATTACAGGTGGCTGTGGTTGCAACAAAACAAACTGCTCAAAAGGACCTCAGTGTCAGGGTATGTTCTCTGTACATTTAATCTGAACTTAATACTGTAGAACCTTAGTCTCACAGTGTCTTCCTGACACAAACAAGATAATGATGTGAAACAAATGGCTTATTAAAAAATGTCAGATGGCTGACAGCCTAGGTAGTTGCACATGAAAAGCAGCCAGACTCCAGAATCTGGAGGCAAAAGAAAGAACAGTCTTACAGGCTTGTGTTGGTTCTGTTTAGTTTCTATTTTCCTAAGGCACAACCAAAGTTCTTTTAGATTTATATTTTGGGAAGTGTTTTTCTTGCTGGAGGATCATAAAAGTAGGTGGAAGTACCAGCCAATTGGCATGTTAAAGTAAGGAAAATAGGACTTGGACTAAAACTAAGGTCAGCAGGTGAAAAAAAACAACAAAATTTGTATTGGTTTTAAATTAGTACCAAAGTTTCTTACTGAAGAATAGAAAAACAACAGAAGTGTCTTACACCTTTGCATAAGATAAAAATGACTTTCCTTTGGAAGCTGTAGCTTAGAATTTAATCTGGGGTAATGATACCATGCAATAAAAACAATATGGATTTTATAATAATGTATAAGAACAGAAAAGTTGTAAAAATGCTAATGTACAGAGCTACAAATATGGTGATATATGAGCAAAGGGGTCATATCAAGTTTTTACTCCAGGCAGGTGTTGTGTTTGTGACAAGTGACTCAATTTGTTATACATTCAACTCCAACAGAATTAGCTGCCTTACAATGAGATTTCACTAATGAGATTTCACTGCCGTATCTTAGCACTTTAATTTTTGGTAGTTCTGTTACAAGTTCAAGTAAGTTAGAGCTGTTTTCAACCCTTATGTCTATTTCCTTTGAAAAACATGAAGGAGAAGGCATTCTAATACGATTTATGTAAATAGGATCCTGATAATTTTAGCTCTAGTTAACTCCATACATTTCCCTGGGCATAACTATTGACTCTCTGAAAACTGGAAAATATTGCATAATTTTAAAGTCAGAGTACAACAACATTTACTGGTCACTTCAAATAAGTTATTCTAGGAGGATGAAATATAAGTAGGTCAGTCCAACAATCATGTTTGCCTAGCCATAAGAACAGATAACTTAAAGATCTTCAAAGATCAAAGGAAACAGAGTAACCACCTTTAACTGGCTGGAGGTGGAACATTCTACAGGTGTCCTGGCAGCCTTCATAAAGGGTAGAAGATGACTGACCCACCCACTCTGCTGGGCTGTGACCACACAGAGACACTCCAGCGCCCACCATAAACCTGGCATGTGGCAAGTACAGAACCCAGAGGCAGGTCTGAGCTTGCTCAGAACACTCTGACCAGCACAGAGGCAGATAATGACAAAAATATAAATCAAGGCTGACTCAGCTAAGTGCTGCCTCCATAGCAAGCCAACTGGGTATGGGGTTTTGCCAGTCCTTAGCTGACTGTTTTCATTATTTAATCAAATATTAAGAAAAGTTCATATGCAAGCCTTGTCAAAAAAGAGAAAAAGTTAACTTCCTATGATCAGCATAAACTGTTAATCTGTTAAGAGAAGCCCAATACTTTCAGCATTCGGGTATACATACACATCATGTCTGTTTCTTTTTAAACATCTTAGGGTGAGGGTGAGGAGAGGGAAGACAAATGAGATAAAGACACAAGCTAAACATCCAACAATTCCCATTCCTCATTCTCTGTGTGGCTGGCAGCATGTCAGAAAGTCACTCCTTTGCTGTGATGGTCATAATACATCTGTTTGAACATGTAGATCTTTATTTCCTTGTTTGTTTGGCTAGGCCTAGGGTACGTGCTATTTTATTTTCTTGGTGTAACAATTCATCACTGCTTCCTGAGAGGCTCAAACAGGATCACTGGCCAGATTCCGAAGAGAAACTGTTTGGAAACAAGTTAGGACAAAATGAAAGAAGATAAAATTGTTCCATGTTATCCCTGAAAAAGAAATTATGGGCTATGTATGACTACAGTGGTTTGTTAGTGGTTGTCCTGGTATTAATAATCAGAGCACAGCATATTCTTTCAAGGTCTGCACCGTATCTCAGAAACAATTTTTATTTATTTAAATATATTAAGCATCTACTTTGTCAAGCATGGAGCTGGGCATTTAAATTCTCTCAGATGCTTAAAACAGCTCTTCAACTTAGCTATTAACAGCTCCATTTTATTGCTGAAGAAACTAAAGCTTGAAGAAAGGAGACTTGCCCAGGGTCATAAAGCAGTAAGTCAAAGACAGAAGATTCAAGAGCATCTGGTTCCAAAGCCTGTACTCTTTCCACCCCATCCCCTTCTTCTGCCTCCATCCCATCCTCCCATTACCTCCTCCTCCAGGACACACATACACACAACTCCGTAGGAAGGAGACTTACCTTCACCTTTGGCCTGTATCTCAAATAAAGTGTTCTTGTATATAAACTGAAAGAAAAGGGGAGAGGGAAGAGGTTTTCAGACAATGTTTTTCCTTTTAAAGCATAGTTGACATACAGTGTTGTATTAGCTTCAGGTGCAGAGCAACGTGATTTTATATATATATATATGTACACACACAAATATATGTATTCTTTATCAGATTATTTTCCATTAAAGGTTATTATAAGATATTGAATATAGTTCCCTGTGATATATAGTAGATCCTTGCTGTTTATTTTATATATAGTAGTGTGTATCTGTTAATCCCAAAGCCCTAATTTATCCTTCCTTCCCCACCCCCTTTTCCCTTTGGTAACCATAAATTTGCTTTTTATCTCTATGAGTTTACGTCTGTTTTGTAAATAAGTACAGACAAATTTTTAATTCACGTAAACTGGCTTATTGACAAATTCAACCACACTGCCTCTGTATATACAAAGAAAAAGTAGCACTGATAAATGAACTTTAGTAACCATTTTTTGAGAATCTACTCTGTGCACAATACTTGGCAAAGGACTAAGGAAGACGGAGAAATGAACAACTCTCGCACTGGACACTCAGGATATTTGTAGTAGGGAGTATTCCACTCATGCTTGATGTGATTCATGTCATGATTGCCAGTTTCATCTCTGAAGATATGTGGTAGTAAGAATTAAGGTAGAGTATCCCTAGAACATTTTAGAAATGGTTATTATCAACTCTATAAAGATTATAATATAGGTGTGAAATAACCAGAAAGTATCACTTCTTCAGAGCATTCTTTAAAATGAGTCACCTCTAAAGATAAGATTTTAATATCAGTCCATACAGCAAAAAGTTAAATTTATTCCTGAAAACTTATTAAACTGTGTATAACTTACAACATACATAGTTTATGTACACTATTTAATTGTATTTGAATAGTAATATACAGCATGAGTACATATGCAAAACAATTTTATAGCATGAAAAATTTCCTGCTTTAAATAAGAGAATGAAAAAGAACATGATAACTTTGAGTAATTTAGTGTGGCTATTCCATCCTACTGTACCTCAAACTGGAATTGTGAAGAAAGACATCATATATTAAGAAGAATACTGCACTGTCTTAGAATATAACCTTTGTTGTTATTCAGTCACTAAGTTGTGTCCAACTCTTTGCAGTGCCTTGGACTGCAGTACACCAGGCTTCCTTGCCTTTCACTATCTCCCTGAGTTTGCTCAAACTCATGTCCATTGAGTCAGTGATGCCATCCAACCATCTTGTCCTCTGTTGCCCCCTTCTCCTGTGCTCAATCTTTCCTAGCATCAGAGTCTTTTCCAAAGAGTTGGGTCTTTGCATGAGGTGGCCAAAGTGTTGGAGCTTCAGCTTTAGCATCAGTCCTTCTGAAGAATATTCAGGGTTGATTTCCTTTAGAATCGACTGGCTTGATCTTGCTGTCCAAGATTATAATGATATAAACTTACTCTGATGGTTTTTCAGATGTTAATCTCTAAAGTGAAGCTACCATATTCTCTCTTCTCTTTAGTGAAGAGTCCTGGACTAGGGCAGAGAATTCTGCCCTTGGATTCCAATCCTTGCTATTCCTTCTACCACTCTCAACTATTTATTAAGTACCTACAACATGTGGGCAAGCACTGGACCCAGAGCTTTATACACACTTCATTCTTTTTTTTTTTTCATTTATTTTTATTAGTTGGAGGCTAATTACTTTACAGTATTGTAGTGGTTTTTATCATACATTGACATGAATCAGCCATGGATTTACATGTATTCCCCATCCCGATCCCCCCTCCCACCTCCCTCTCTACCTGCTCCCTCTGGGTCTTCCCAGTGCACCAGGTCCAAGCACTTGTCTCATGCATCCAACCTGGGCTGGTGATCTGTTTCACCCTAGATAATATACATGTTTCGATGCTATTCTCTCGAAACTTCTCACCTTCGCCTTCTCCCACAGAGTCCAAAAGTCTGTTCTGTACATCTGTGTCTCTTTTTCTGTTTTGCATATAGGGTATCATTACCATCTTTCTAAATCCCATATATATATACACACTTCATTCTTAAATTACCTTACTAGATAGGTATTATTCTTGTTTTGCATATGAGAAAGTCTCAAAAAAGGTCAAATATTTCATTCAAGGTGCTACAGCCAGTAAATGCTAGAAGCAAGATTTGAAGTCAGGTGCCATCTAATGATTATCCAACATGTTGTCCTCTAACTGGCCAGTGATCAAGTCACTTTTTCTGGGCCCCAGTTTCGTTCACCATCAAATAAGGGAGTTATATTAGGTTATTTCTAAGGTCTTGATTGGTAGATGGCTGTAAATTTGTGTGAGTAATGTCTGATGGCCACTTCTGTGAAACATATTCCTCTCCCCTAATTTACTATTTTCTTTTCCTCTGCTCAGTTTCAAAGCAACTTACTTTTTAGTCTTTTGGGGGTGGAGTATAGAGTGAGCTTACTTCTGATTCATCCAACTGGATGTAGAAAAGTCTTCCATTATACTCCCTTCTTTGGGCTGGCTCCTTTTCTTTGGTTAGCTCTAGGTCTTGACTTCTGTCTCCTTTGTTCCATGAGGCCACGGAATCAGACCTTAGAATTGATGGGTTGACAAAAATCCTTCCAGCCCAAAGCAACTGTGGTTCTCCTTTTTAGGTACCTATTTTCTTTTAGACTGTAACATTTCTTTTAATATTGTCAACATTTGATGCTTTTAATATTTTATCCAACACTCTTTGTTGTTTTAGTAGGAAATCTGTCTGAATATCCTAGGCTGGCATCACTGCAAATGAAAGTCCTGCTCAATTTAATCATTTCAACAATCTACAGAATAAAAGAGTATTTTCCTTATTTTAACTGATCAGGAAATGGAGAGTTAGAGCTAAGTAAATAACTTGGCTCAAGATTGTTACCCAGTTATGAAGTAAAGGAGTAAAGATCTGAACTCAGATATTTTTACTCTACTGTGTTATTCTTTCTTTCAAACTTATGTACAAGACTTAAGTCTTAGAGTACATCATGTTACTAAATTCTCAAATTGTCCCTTTGAAATATCATTATTCACATGTTCCCTTCAATGAGGGACCTACAGAATCAAAATTTCCATATAATTAAAACTTACAACATTGAAGTTTCTTTTATTTTGGTTATTTAGGGTGAACTATATCTAAAATATATTCTATTCTTCCCTGTCTCCTAAAAAAAAATAGGAAAACATTTTAACATTCCTAGAAAACAAAAAAATTAACTCAAAATCTTGCCACCAAATCTCATCAAAATGCTTCAACTTTTGTGTATTTACTTTAAACTGTGTCACCATACAAATGAATTTTTACACTGGTTTAATAATTTTATATACATGACTTTGTTTCACTTAAAAATAAAAATGTCTATGTTGCCATAAAATTTTCATATTATAATTTTAAATGGCTGAATAAAGGAGATGCTATGATTTACTTTATGATTTTTTCCTAACTATTGGATATTTTATTTTTCTATTATTTTCTTTTGCTAAATTAAATAACAGTGATAAAACTTTCTGTGTCTACACACATTTTCATTTTTCAAGGTTTTTTTTCCTTAGGATAAATTTTGAGAAAGCTAATAATTGTGATAAAAATATAAACATTTCATTTTCATCAACATATGTAGCATCAAATTTCTTTCCAAATGGATTGTACCAATTTACACTGACAAGTAATGTATGATAATACCATTTTCACTGTAACTAAAGAATAAAGAGAGTTTAAAAATATTACTGTAGCTCACTTAAAGGTTATATAAACTACCCCACTGTTTTATTTTTAAATTATTTTTTGAAAGGCTAATACAAGCATTTGGTTAAAAATTCAAACAGTGTGAAAAGGTGTACAGGAAAAAGGAGGTCTGTCTCCTATTCCTGACCCTCAGCTCAGAGCTAACTGCTGTTATTTAACAGCTTATTATGTGTAACCTTACAAAGTTTTCACATTTCTCAGCATATATGTGTACTCAGCCTCCTCTTCACAATGAGAGGCCAGGCCTTCCTCTCTCTTTTGTTTTTTTAAATTTAAAAACAGTTTGAAGCTTACAGAAAAGTTGAAAGATTAAGAATTCTTGTATCCCCTTATTCCAGATCCCCAATTGTTATCATTTAACCACATCTGTTTTATATTTATACCCATACACAAAAACACATAATGTACATGTATGTGTATATTTATCTATTTCCTACAGGGTTATTATACGACATGATGGCCATCATCCTTAAATACTTCATTGTGTATCACCACAAAACAAGAACACTCTCCTAAATTATTATAACTGTTCCAACCAGGAAATTAATATTAATAAAGTACTCCATCCAAGCCAAAACAATTTAAATTTTGCTGAATGTCCCAACAATTTCTTTTCTCCATCCTGATTCAGGGTCTTATTCAGAAACATGCACTGCATTTAGTTTCCATGTCATGTCTTAACCATCATTTCCTAACTCAATAATTCTTCAGCTCTTTTTCTCCCATAACTTGATGGTCTTACAAGACTTTCACTCTGTAGAAATACCTTCAATATGATTTCATCAGTGTTTTCATGACCAGGCACAGGCCTTGCAACTCTGGCAGGAATACCACAGAAATGATGCTGAACTCACTTCAGTGCACTGTATCAGGAGTCACACTATAGTGACCAGCCCCATCATGGGCAATGCCAACCTTAGATGTAGGAAAGTTGGTTGCTACTAGTTTTCCTCACTGTAAATTCACCATTTCCCCCTCTGTATTAGTGTTTTAGTAGGGGAGACTCATGGGAGTATTTCATAATACTCATGAGAGTGTTCAATAATTCTGAATTATGTGTTCCTCATCAAACTTTCGCCTATCAGCCAGAGATCAATTGTTAACTATTATCTATCATATATCCAACAGATAGTTCCCAAATGGTAATTATTTGTTTCCACTGTTCCTTCTGCATTTATTAGTTGGCATTCTTTTGTAAGGAAGAGCTTTCCCTTCTCATTTATTTATTCATTTATTTATATTAGTATGTAGTCACAGATTCCTATTTTATTCAATAGATTGCAATTTGAATACATCTAATGTGTCATATCTGAGTGTATGTGTGTGTGTCACACATTCTTGAGTGTGTTTTGGGGGTTTATGGCAGCACCACTGTACAGCTTGTGGGACCTTAGTTCTCCAACCAGGGACTGAACATAGGCCACAGCAATGAAGGAGCAGAGTCCTAACGACTGAACCATCAGGAAATGTCCAATACCAAAACTTTTAATTCCAATCGAACCCCCTCAGAGTTCCTTCTATCTTTTCTGCTTTTCATATTTTTAAATCCCTTGTAATACAGTGGAGAAATCAGGCTCTTGTTAACCTCTCAATATATTTACTTATTGCTTAATCAGTTAATTTATTTGTCCAAAGTAACCCATTTCCCAACTCCAGCTACCTCCTCCGTCCATCCCCTCCTCTCACGGTCCTGCTTCCTGTCCCACACAGAAGCCCCATCCTCAGCACCTTGATTTTCTTAGAGGATTTCAGCATGCTACTACCGCTGACCCCTTTCCCTCACTCCCTACTCCTTGGACATTGAATGCTGGTTCCTCTGCACAGCACTGCTTCCCCCTCGCTGCCTTATTTCCTTGAAAGGTTTCCACACCAGGAAGACAGGAGAAAGTGAAAAAAAAAAACATGGAAAGGAAAACGTAGAAAAGGGGAGGGGGGAGTGGGAAACCCTAGTCTTTCAAAATTGGATATATTGAGTATAATTTCATCTCTTCTTGAATATTTATAGAAAAATTCATTGATATATTATATTACACTGCAGTAATGTCCTTGGGACTTCTTGGGGAGTGTTACAGTGTCAAGAAGCACTTAACAGGAGGCTTCCTATGTACTGTTTTGGATCTGTCATGAATCCTCTGTTCCTTATTAATTCCTGAATATTCAGGAATTAAGAGGAGAGGCAAGCCTTTCCCAGGGCTGAGGAATCCAGACATTTCCTTTGTTAGTTTTTCAATACGGTGATAAATACCCTCTTCCTTCTTATGAACCATACGGTAAAAGTGATTGATTACAACCTTCTAAGACTGGAATTTTAATCTTTATCTTTGCTGAGAATAACTACCTTGTAAGACAGTATATATGCCCACACCGTGTTGATTAAATCACCTTTGCTCCATCAGAGCTTGGGTCCCCGTGTCTTTCTTTCTTTCTTTCTCTCTCTCTCTCTCTATTTCTGGCTGATTCCCTGGAACGCAAAAGCTGGCTGCGTAACCCTGGGAATATTAGCCTCTTTCCTTCTTTCACTTTCTCACTGTTGACTCTGGACCAGCAAGTTCCAGTCCATTAAAGGACTCCAACATTACAGAACCGAGTTTTTAATTCTTGGGTCTGTAATAGATACTTTTGGTTCTCCTTTTCTATCATTTGTCAGTTTTCCCAAACATTTCCTGCCATAACCCTTCTTCTTAAGTAGATATTTCTAATATGCTAAGGGCTAAGAATCTAGACAATCAATGCAGTAAGAGTAGCAAACTAAAATAAGTATACATAGAGCCAGAGTTTTTAAAGCTCTTCCGTAATTAATAACCTTGAGCTCTTCAAGGTATGAAATCAGTGATTCTTATTTAGCTGCCCAAAAGTTCTTTTTATGTAATTCTCAAGTAGTTAAATTTTAGATAATTCAAGTTGCCTAAACAGATTATCTCTAGATAGGTGGGATGCAAATGCTATTTTGAGAAAGTATTCTAAAATTTCACTTGAACAAATTTTCACATTGGTTCAAAGGAAAATTTTCTTCCCCTTTCTACAAATATTTAAGCTCGCTCAATTCTTGAGATGAATTTGACATTAAACATTTGAGATACCAAGGGAATATTTCATGCAAAGGTGGGCACAATAAAGGACAGAAATAGTATGAACCTAACAAAAGCAGAAGATATTAAGAGGTGGCAAGAATACACAGAAGAATTATACAAAAAAAGATCTTCATGATCCAGATAACTACAATGGTGTGATCGCACACCTAGAGCCAGATATCTTGGAATGCGAAGTCGAGAGGGCCTTAGGAAGCATCACTACGAACAAAGCTAGTGAGGTGATGGAATTCTAGTTGAGCTATTTCAAATCCTGAAAGATGATGCTGTGAAAGTGCTGCAGACAATATGCCAGCAAATTTGGAAAACTCAGCTGTGGCCACAGGACTGGAAAAGGTTAGTTTTCATTCCAATCCCAAAAGAAGGCAATGCCAAAGAATGCTCAAACTACTGCACATTTGCACTCATCTCACACACTAGTAAAGTAATGCTCAAAATTCTCCAATCCAGGCTTCAACAGTATATGAACCATGAACTTCCAGATGTTCAAGCTGGATTTAGACAAGGCAGAGGAACCAGAGATCAAATTGCCAACATTCGCTGGATCATCAAAAAAGCAAGAGAGCTCCAGAAAAACATTTACTTCTGTGTTATTGACTATGCCAAAGCCTTTGACTATGTGGATCACAACCAACTGTGGAAAATTCTGAAAGAGATGGGAATACCAGACCAGCTGACCTGCCTCTTGAGAAATCTGTATGCAGGTCAAAACGCAACAGTTAGAACCATACATGGAACAACAGACTGGCTCCAAATAGGAAAAGGAGTACGTCAAGGCTGTATATTGTCACCCTGCTTATTTAACTTATATGCAGAGGACATCATGAGAAACACTGGGCTGGAAGAAGCACAAGCTGGAATCAAGACTGCCAGGAGAAATAACAATAACCTCCACTCTTATGGTAGAAAGCAAAGAAGAACTAAAGAGCCTCTGATGAAAGTGAAAGAGGAGAGTGAAAAAGTTGGCTTAAAACTCAACATTCAGAAATCATCATGGTATCTGGTCCCATAACTTCATGGCAAATAGATGGGAAAACAATGCAAACAGTGAGAGACTTTATTTTCTTGGGCTCCAAAATCATTGCAAATGGTGACTGCAGCCATGAAACTAAAAGACACTTGCTCCTTGGAAGAAAAGCTATGACCAACCTAGATAGCATATTAAAAAGCAGAGGCATTAATTTGCTGACAAAGGCCCATCTAGTCAAGGCTTTGGTTTTTCCAGTAGTCATGTATGGATGTGAGAGCTGGGCTATAAAGAAAGCTAAGCACAGAAGAATTGATGCTTTTGAACTGTGGTATTGGAGAACTGTGGTGTTGGTGTTGGAGACTCTTGAGAGTCTCGTGGACTGCAAGTAGATCCAACCAATCCATTCTAAAGGAAATTGGTCCTGAATAAACATTGGAAGGACTGATGTTGAAGCTGAAACTCCAATACTTTGGCCACCTGATGAGAAGAACTGACTCATTTGAAAGACCCTGATGCTGGGAAAGATTGAAAGAGGGAGGAGAAGGGGATAACAGAGGATGAGATGGCTGGATGGCATCACTGACTCAATGGACATGAATTTGTCCACCAGCTCCGGGAGTTGGTGATGGACAGGGAAACCTGGTGTGCTGCAGTCCATGGGGTCACAAAGAGTCGGACACAACTGAGCGACTGAACTGATCCTCTGGTAAAGAGATCACTATGATAACATTTATTCATTAAATCATTTAGCAATATATACTGAGTGCTTACTATTTGACAGGCACTATTTTAAGCACTTGGGAGAGTAGCAGTGAATAAAATAAAGCCCTTGCTCTCAAGGAACTTACAGTCTAGTTGGGGAAGGAAAACAAGTAAACCCTTATATAACTGTTTATAAATGCTGTGAAGAAAAATAAATTCTGGTAAGGGGAGAAAGAGTAATAGACATATTATGTGAGTAGGATGAACACAAACAATTCTGGTTCCATTTTTGCTTAAGTGGCTGACCTCCAATAAATTCTTTATAAGGGAAACAGTGGCAACCAATTTGTTTCAGGGAAGGAGAAAAAGTAAGTTGGTGACTTCAGATATGTACTCATGCTTTTTCAGTCGCTGCTCAGGGTATCTGGCTGCTTTTTCCCTCTTAAATTTGTTCTCTATAAACAAAGATATGCTGTTCAACAAGAAATGGAAATGTTTATATCCTACTGCACTGAAAAAGGAGATGAATGATCTACTTAAAATGTAGATCATGTGCCAGAGGTCAGTTATACAGCTGTCACCCTTTCAGGATAAGAAAACAGAGCTTCAGAGAGAGGAAGGGACTTGTTTAAGATCACTCTGATTGGGTCTCTGACATTTTATATTTACACATTCTATTTGAAGAGTAAAGAAAGAAACACTCCAATAGTAGGATTAAAAAGTCTCTATTTCCTACCTGAAAAGGATGTGAAGATAAGAACCAAGGCCAGTTAAAATATGCCACCATGCATGAAACTGTGTGGTAACACCTATGACAGGTGGTAGCTTCTTTCGAAAGTTCCTGTGTGAAGGGGGGAAAAATAAGCATTCGATTATTTTTCATATTTAACAATTAATGCTGATAGTATCAAAGCATTTTGAAACATTATTCTCAAACGTGGCAATCATTTCCTTTTGTCTGCTGCATTGTTTTCCAAAGTGTATTTTGAGGAACGGTATTCCTGATAGACGTTCCATGAAGAAATGACTCAGTGGTCAAAATAAATGTAGGCAACAGTACATAGTTTGTTGCCCTTTTGGAGATTTGTAATGCATATTAACAGATTAACAGCTGTAAAAAGTCCTACCATAACTAAACAGTTTATCATCAGTTTTTTCAGGTAAACTACTAGTCCATGGAACCCTTCTTTCAGGTAATATTAACACCTTATGGACCAAGTGTTTCCTGCTAAGTTTCACTTCATAGTGAGTCTTTGAGGTGGTTGTTAAAAGCTGTGCTTTGCCGATTAGGAGCCTAAAATTCAGAGATTACTGAGTTGCCCAAGTACTCAGCTAGTGGGACAGCTGAGCCTCAAATTCCAGACCTTGTGATTAAGTGTGTATTATATTAATATTCTTGTCTATCAGAGCAGAGAAATTCAATGTGAAACACCAAATTATTTTTCAGATATCCCCACAAGTTTTGCGAACATCTCAAGAAGCTACTTTGTTTCTCAGAAACAAAGAGGACTCAGCCAGAGGATAATGACTAACTTTTGCATTGTAAAAGCTCCAGTGAGGGTTCTGATGGATACTGCTGATTCAGAACCACTCAATTAGATCTTAGTTTTCTAACCAAGATGTATTATTTGTGTGCATTTAAAGTCGACATTTCAAACATGTGCAAAAATAGGCAAAATAATAATGTACCCATTACCCAGCTTCAACAATTATAAATTATTTATTTTTAACAATTATAATTTATGGCTGATCTTGTATCATCTAAGACTCATCCACTTCTCTCCTCCCATATTATTTATTTTGAAGCAAATCCTAGAGAGTGTATCATTTTATCTCTAAATATTTCAGTATATCTCTAATCCCTTAATATAATCAGAAATTCAATTACTAATCATATTTGATATTCAATTACTGATCATAAAAGTCATACAGATTTTTTTAAACACAAGTCTGTTTCAATCAAGATCCAAAAAAAGTAATTACATTCCTTTGGAGTTTGGTTGATGTATCTCTTACATCTGTCTCTTTTATTTTATTTTTTCATTTCTTGGCTGCATCAGGTGGCATGTGGAATCTTAATTCCCCAAGAGATAGAAGCCTGTGCACCTACATTGAAAACAGAGAGTCTTAACACTGGACCACCAGGGAAGTCGCAAGTCTCTCTGTTTTAAAAAAAGTCATTTATTTAAGGCTGCACTGGGTCTTTGTTGCTGTGCTTGGGCTTTTTCCAGTTGCAGCGGGCAAGGGCTACTCTCTAGTTATGGGGCACAGGCTTCTCATTGTAGTGGCTTCCCTTCTTGCAGAGCACAGGCTCTAGGGTGCGCAGGCGAGTGCTGGCTCAGTAGTTGCGGCGCATGGGCTTACTAACCCCATGGCACACAGGATCTTCCTGGACCAGGGATTGAATCCATGTCCCCTACATTGGCAGGTGGATTCTTAACCATCGGACCACCAGGGAAGTCTCCAAGTCTCTTTTAATCTATATGTTCCTCCTCCATTCCCCCCCCTCCTCCCTCCTGCAATTCATTTACTTTAGAGACTAGGTCATTCATTCTATAGATTTCCCAGTTTGAATTTTGCAGATTGCCTCTCTGTGGTATTATTCAATATATTCATTCCTTTGCTGTCTATGACTACACAATACCATTAAATCAGCTAATTTTGAGTTGGAAGGAAACTAGTTTAACCTACTTAACATGTTCATTTTATGAAAATTGAGGCCCAGACAGAAGGTGTCTAAGGTGACAACTAGAGCCTAGAGACCCAAGATTCAAATTCCAGTGAACATTTCTTCAATAAAGCAGATTAGGCAGATTTCAAAGACCTAGACAGAGAAGACTGGCAGGCTATAGTCCATGGGGTTGCAAAGGTCAGACATGACTGAAGCAACTGAGCACAGTCAGTATTAATATTTGATTAACTGTACCGTACTATGATGTATGCACAAAAATCCCTACAGATGTTATGGAATATTTTTAAGTTCAAATTTTTAGGTAATTTAAACAAGTGTTCCCATAATTTAACTTTATTGTGCTATTAGCTGAGTTCAGTTCAGTCACTCAGTCATGTCCAACTCTTTGTGACCCCATGGAATGCAGCATGCTAGGCCTTCCTGTCCATCACCAACTCCCAGAGTTTACCCAAACTCATCTCCATTAAGTCAGTGATGCCATCCAACCATCTCATCCTCTGTTGACACCTTCTCCTCCTGCCTTCAATCTTTCCCAGTATCACGGTCTTTTGAAATAAGTCAGCTATTCGCATCAGGTGGCCAAAGTATTGGAGTTTCAGCTTCAACATCAGTCCTTTCAATGAACACTCAGGACAGATCTCCTTTAGGAAGGACTGGTTGGATCTCCTTGCAGTCCAAGGGATTCTCAAGAGTCTTCTCCAACACCACAGTTCAAAAGCATCAATTCTTCTGTGCTCAGCTTTCATTATAGTCCAACTCTCACATCCATACATGACTACTGGAAAAACCATAGCCTTGACTAGATGGACCTTTGTTGGCAAAATAACGTCTCTACTTTTTAATATGCTGTCTACATTGATCATAGCTTTTCTTCCAAGGAGCAAGCGTCTTTTAATTTCATGACTGCAATCGCCATCTGCAGTGATTTTGGAGCCCAAGAAAATAGTCTGTCACTACTTCCACTGTTTCCCCATCTATTTGCTATGAAGCCATGGGACCGAATGCCATGATCTTAGTTTTCTGAATATTGAGCTTTAAGCCAACTTTTTCACTCTCCTCTTTCACTTTCATCAAGAGGCTTTCTAGTTCCTCTTCACTTTCTGCCATAAGCGTGGTGTCATCTGCATATCTGAGGTTATTGATATTTCTCCCGGCAATCTTGATTCCAGCTTGTGCTTCTTCCAGCCCAGTGTTTCTCATGATGTACTCTGCATATAACTTAAATAAGCAGGGTGACAATATACAGCCTTGACGTATTCCTTTTCCTATTTGGAACCAGTCTGTTGGTTCATGTCCAGTTCCAACTGTTGCTTCTTGATCTACATACAGATTTCTCAAGAGGCAGGTCAGCTGGTCTGGTATTCCCATCTCTTTCAGAATTTTCCACAGTTTATTGTGATCCACATAGTCAAAGGCTTTGGCATAGTCAATAAAGCAGAGATAGATGTCTTTCTGGAACTCTCTTGCTTTTTCGATGAGCCAGAGGATGTCAGCAACTTGATCTCTGTTTCCTCTGCCTTTTCTAAAACAAGCTTGAACATCTGGAAGTTCACGGTTTACGTAATGTTGAAGCCTGGCTTGGAGAATTTTGAGCATTACTTTACTAGTGTGTGAGATGAGTGCAATTGTGTGGTAGTTTGAGCATTCTTTGGGATTGCCTTCTTTTGGGACTGGAATGAAAACTGACCTCTTCCAGTCCTGTGGCCACTGTTGAGTTTTCCAAATTTGCTGGCATATTGACTGCAGTACTTTCACAGCATCATCTTTTAGGATTTGAAATAGTTCAATTGGAATTCCATCACCTCCACTAGCTTTGTTCATAGTGATGTTTCCTAAGGCCCACTTGACTTCACATTCTAGGATGTCTGGCTCTGGGTGAGTGATCACACCACTGTGATTATCTGGGTTGTGAAGATCTTTTTTCTATAGTTCTTCTGTGTACTCTTGCCACCTCTTCTTAATATCTTCTGCTTCTGTTTGGTCCATACCGTTTCTGTCCTTTATTGTGTCCATCTTTGCATGAAATGTTCCCTTGAAATCTCTAATTTTCTTGAAGAGATAGCCAGTCTTTCCTATTTTATTGTTTTCCGCTATTTCTTAGCACTGATCACTGAGGAAGGCTTTCTTGTCTCTCTATTCTTTGGAACTCTGCATTCAAATGGGTATATCTTTTCCTTTCTCTTTTGCTTTTTGCTTCTCTTCTTTTCACAGCTATTTGTAAGGCCTCCTCAGACAACCATTTTGCTTTTTTTGCATTTTTTTTCTTGGGAATGGTCTTGATTCCTGTCTCCTGTACAGTGTCACGAACCTCCCTCCATAGTCATCAGGTACTCTGTCTATCAGAGTTAGTGCCTTAAATCTATTTCTCACTTCCACTGTATAATGGTAAGGGGTTTGATTCAGGTCATACCTGAATGGTCTAGTGGTTTTCCCTACTTTCTTCAATTTAAGTCTAAATTTGGCAATAAGGAGTTCATGATCTGAGCCACAACCAGCTCCCGATTTTGTTTTTGCTGACTGTATAGAGCCTCTCCATCTTTGGCTGCAAAGAATATAATCAGTCTGATTTCAGTGTTGACCATCTGGTGATATCCATGTGTAGAGTCTTCTCTTGTGTTGTTGGAAGAGGGTGTATGCTATGACCAGTGCATTCTCTTGGCAAAACTCTATTAGCTTTTGCCCTGCTTCATTCTGCTATACATATATTTTTTATTTTAATGATTGGAAAAATTCACTTCAGTGCACTAATAATTCTATATGCCTATGAAATGCTCTGCTTAACAAATTCCAAAAACATTTTTCAAAGATTGAAAATATATCTTACCTCAGTGAATCACAAAAGATGTTATCTATGTTCCATAATAAAAATCCTAATAAAAATACACCCAAGGATGTGTAACCCAGCCCTCTCAGCCATGGATAAACCCTGTGTGGAGGGGAAAAAAAGAGCAAAATCAAATTTTGTCAAGTCATGTCATGAGAGGGAAATGTTTTCTTAAGTATTAAAAGCAAACCTAATGATTAAATTCTTTAATACATCTGCCCATTACAGTTAGCCATTAAAAGGTACTGAGGAAGAAAAGTGCCACTAAGAGTTTGCTAAATGTATCAAGAAGGTAATCTAAAAGCACCCCGTGACTTAATCAGTTCCTTGGAAGAGGTAGAGGGCTGGTGGAATAGAAACAACACTAATGGAGTCACCAGCTCTGTGTCAGGCATTACAGTATATTAGATACACACAATGTATATAAATAAACACACACATATGAATATAATTTTCAAATAAACACACATATATGAATACAATCTTCAAATAAACACTTCTTTAACTTTGCTGATGAGGAAACTGAAGTTTGGTGAGTTACCCAAAATAATAGGTGTAGCTAATGTACCTTTTTTTATAGTTTTACCCTTTACCTCCAAAAACTTAGTTTATATATTTTTTAGAATGTTATATAAATGGAATAATACAGTATGTTTTCTTTGTTATATGGCTTCTTTCAGTTGGCATAATTATTTTAAAATTCATCCATGCTGTTGTATATCAATACTCATTTCCTCTTACTGTTGACTAGTACTTCACTATATGGATGTGCTATGGTTTATCTGTTCAAATGTTGTTAGATATTTCTGTTGTTTTCCAGGTTGTTTTGTTCTAACAAATAAAAGAAGCTATGAACATTCATAAATAAGTCTTTGTATGGGTATATGCTTTCATTTCCCTTGGGTAAAAAGATAGAATAGTTAAATTGTCTGGCATGTAAATGTTACTTTTTAAGATAGCTAAACTGTTTAATCAGTACTAAAGGGTTGTATCATTTTACATTCCCATCAGCAGGGTAAAAGAGTTTTTTGTTCTACAACCTCACCAACACTTGCTATGATATGTCTTTTTCATTTTAGTTGCCCTATAGGTTTATAGAGGTATCTCACTGTGGCTTTAATTTTTATTTCTCAATGATAAATGTTATTGAGCATCATTTCTTGTACTTATTTGCCATCCCTATATCTTCTTTGATAGTTTGTTTTGAATCTTTGCCCACTAAAAGAAAATTGTTACTTATTATTAAGTTTCAAGAGATCTTTATATATTCTAAATATAAATCCTTTGTTGGATATATATTTTGCAAACATTTTCTCCAAGTCTGTGAGTTGCCTTTCACGTCTTTCTTTTAATTCTTGAAAAAATTTCTTTAATTGAAATACAGCTGATGCACAATGGTCTGTTAGTTTCTGGTATATAGCAAAGTGATTCAGTTACATACATATATTCTTTTCAATTACAGTTTATTGCAGGATATTGAACATAGTTCCCTGTGCTATACAGTAGGACTTGTAATCCATTCCGTATATAATGGCTTGCATTTGCTAACCCCAAACTCTGAATCCATTCCCCACCCTAATCTTGCCTTGGTAACCACAAGTCTGTTCTCTCCATCTGTGAGTCTGTTTCTGTTCTGTAGATAAGCCTCCCTGTTGTTCTTTTTCAAAACTGTTTTGGCCCTTCTAGATCCTTTGTAATCCCATGTAAATTTCAGAAACTGTTTCCCAATTTTTACCAAAAAGCCTGCAGAGATTTTGTGTGACTGCATTGAACCTATAGATCAATTTGGAGAGAACTGACATCTTAATAACATTGAAGTTTTCTAATCCATGAAAATGATACATCCATTTACTTCAGTTCAGTTCAGTTCAGTTCAGTCACTCAGTCGTGTCTGACTTTTGCGACCCCATGAATCGCAGCACACCAGGCCTCCCTGTCCATCACCAACTCCCAGAGTTTACAAAAACTCATGTCCATCAAGTCGGTGATGCCATCCAGCCATCTCATCCTCTGTTGTCCCCTTCTCCTCCGGCCCCCAAGCCCTCCCAGCATCAGGGTCTTTTCAAATGAGTCAGCTATTCACATCAGGTGGCCAAAGTATTGGAGTTTCAGCTTCAGCATCAGTCCTTCCAATGAATATCCAGGATTGATCTCCTTTAGGATGGACTGGTTGGATCTCCTTGCAGTCCAAGGGANAGAAATAGATGTCTTTCTGGAACTCTCTTGCTTTTTCGATGAGCCCAGAGGATGTCAGCAACTTGATCTCTGGTTCCTCTGCCTTTTCTAAAACAAGCTTGAACATCTGGAAGTTCACGGTTCACGTAATGTTGAAGCCTGGCTTGGAGAATTTTGAGCATTACTTTACTAGTGTGTGAGATGAGTGCAATTGTGCGGTAGTTTGAGCATTCTTTGGCATTGCCTTCTTTTGGGATTGGAATGAAAACTGACCTTTTCCAGTCCTGTGGCCACAGCTCAGTTTTCCAAATTTGCTGGCATATTAAGTGCAGCACTTTCACAGCATCATCTTTCAGGATTTGAAATAGCTTAACTGGAATTCCATCACCTCCACTAGCTTTGTTTGTAGTGATGCTTTCTAAGGCCCACCTGAGTTCACATTCCAGGATGTCTGGCTCTAGGTGAGTGATCACACCATCGTGATTATCTGGGTCATGAAGATCTTTTTTGTATAGTCCTTCTGTGTATTCAGGTCTTCTTTAATTTGGCTCAGCAAAAACTTATTCACCACAGTTTCCAATATATACAGCTTGCATATATTTGCTAAATTTAATCTTTAAATATTTGATGTTTTTTGATGCTACTGTAAATTATACTTTCAAAAATTTCACTTACTATGCACTTGTTTGGTGCTAGTACATAGAAATATGATTTTTGAATATGGACTTGAACCTCATGACCTTGCTGAATTTCACTTATTGCTTCTAGTGATCTTGTGGTATTTTCTGTATGTGATCATATCATCTGCAAACACTACATTGGATAGGACTTCCACCAATACACTGTTGAATAGAAGTGGTGAGATGTATATCCTTGTTTTAGTCTTGATTTTAAAGATAACTTTTAAAAACATTTCATGGAAATATGATAGATGCTGTAGTTTACAGGTTAAGAAACTTCTCTTCTATTGGGTTTGTAAAGGGTTTTATTTGGTTTGTTTTGGATCATAATAGCTGAATTTTATGGAATGCTTTATCTGAATGTATTGCTATCATCACGTAGTTTTTCTCCTTTATTTTTTAATATGGTGAATGACGAGAATAGATTTTCTCAAAATTCTGTTATTTTAACTGTGCTTAGTTGCTCAGTTGTGTCTGACTCTTTGCAAGCCCACGGACTGGGGTCGCTTCTGTCCATGTGATTCTCCAGGCAAGAATACTGGAATGGGTTGCCATGCCCTCCTCCAGAGTTTGCAGATAAACAAATGAATTGTGTTATTAACTTTAAAATCATCAGGGACTTCCCTGGTGGTCCAGTGGTTAAGAATCTGCCTGCCATGCAGGAGACATGGATTTGATTCCTGGTCCAGGAAGATTCCATATGCTGTGGAGCAACTAAGCCCACACGCTGCAAGTAGAGAAAGTCCGCACACAGCAACAAAGACCCCACACGGTCAAAAAAAATGTCATCAGAAAAACACAAATCTGGCTGCACATAGAAGGGACATTATTGCCATAGTTTGATGAAGATTCTCAGAAAATATGAGTTTAAAAAAGTCATAGTATGCCTTCAGCTTTTCAGAGTTTATCACTTTCCCATTTGAGGGAGGCAAGAATGAGTCCCAGAAAGCACAGAGTAAAGGCATTTGGCAGAACTGCAGGATGGGCCAGGTGCTGAGATATGACAGGGAAGTGGTCACTAGGGGTGAGATACTCTCTATTTTCTGCTTCTAAGCTTACTTACCAGGGCCAATCTTCGGCTCTCAGAAGTAATTCAAAGCAAAATTCTTCTGTGGGGTGAAATGAATGTCTCTGGTTATCCAGGTAGCAGGGCACGTAAGAGAGAGCAAGAACTTCATCAGCACATGGTCCAAGCAAGCTAAGTACAGGTAAGATTCTGGGGACAGACTACTTGTATATTATCAGGTCAAGGGTGTGTAACACAGAAGACCCTCAACGTATCTGTATCTGGAGCCACACTCCTTTACTCTAGACTGGTTGTCTATCTAGTGGACAGCCATTCTCTGAAAAATCCCTTCCCTTTGCCTTCACTTTGGGAATTGCCTTCACCTCATTGTGTTGGATTTTCTATGTCTTGTTTCCTATGTCTTCCTCCTTTCTGGTTTTCTCATTTTGGTCAAACACATCCTTCCACAGGTTTCTGAGCACTAGTTTATGGTATATGTTTTTTTTTCCCTTTTTTTTTGAGAACTTGAATGTATGAAAATGTATTCTGTCACCATCTTTTATCAATAGTTTGGCTAGGTATTATCCTGTAACTGGCTTCCAGTTTTCCTTTGGCAAGCCCAAAACCACTCTGATCCCTGATCCTTTGTATATATTGTATCTACTTTCTGACTCTAAACTTGTAGAACTGTCCTTGTCTAGAATTCTGAAATTGGCATGGGTCTATTTCCACCCACTGTGCTAAGCACATAGTAGGTTCTTTTAATCTATTAACTCTTATTTTTCAATTACAGGATATTTTCTTGAATTGTTTTGGTGATAATTTCCTCCCTTCCCTTTCCTCTACACAGTACCCCTTCCCTTTTTTATGCTGGTCCTGAAATCAGAACCCCTATTGAGTTCCTTCTATTCTCCATTTCTTTCCCACCATTCTGATGGCACCCAGGGACCACGGACTTGAGGAAACACTTGCTATTTGTCCACGGCAAATGGTAAGTGGGTCCAAGGGTCCTGAGACCAAGAGGCCCCATGCTGTCCTGTTCACTCTGAACCATAACATAAGCTCAGTGCCTCTCCTGTGGTGGATGCTTGCTGGTGAATGGGTAGGGGGGCTCAGGGACCATAAGACAATCACAATGTGTGTTCAGGAGAAAGAATTCCAATGTCTTCTTTAACTGTATCTTTCAAAATATTCATTTCAGCTTTTTATTATATTTTTAATGTCCATTTTTGGGGGATTCT